AAGGGCTCCAGATGTGACTTGTTGGTTGAGTTCCCCTGGATTCAATCCCTGGTACAAAACAAACAAACCAACCAAAACAAACAGACACATAAAGACATAAAAATGGATGATTACATTGCAATGCAAAAGGAACTGGCTTTCAATAAATTTTACTGGAAAAATTGCAAAAAAGAAAATCTGGATGAAATTATTATATCTTTCACAAGAATTAAATCAAAATAGACTATAAACCTAAATATGAAATGCAAAACTGTTAAAATTCTAGAAGATAGTATAGGATAAGCGACCTTTGATTTGGCAGTGAGTTTTCAGTATAACAACATGAGCATAATCCATTAAAGAAGACATTTGTATGTGGATGTCTATTAAAATTTAAAACTTTTCTGTGAAATATTAAAAGAATGAAAAGATATAGACTGGGACAACATATCACAAAATATATCCTATAAAGGAATTACAACCAAAATATACAAAACCCTTAACAATATGAAAAGAAGTGACCCAGTTAAAAATAGGCAAAATATCTGAACAAACACTATCAAAGAAAATATTCTGCAGGAAATAAGCATATGAAATGATTGTCAACATCATATGTCATTAGGGAGCTGCAAATTTAAACAACAGTAAGAAACTAATAGACATGTATTAGGATAGCAAATATCCAAAATACTAAATACTGATAAGGACGAAGAGCAATTGAAACTCATATATAGCTGAAGGGAATGCTTAGAAAGATAGTTTGATATTTTTATAATTCTAAAAACAATCATGAGATATAATCCAGTAGGGAGACTCCTATATGTTTATTTAAGTTGAAAATTTAACATCCACATAAAAACCTGTGCTTGAATGTTTATGGCAGCTTTATTTGTAATATGCAAAATGTAAAAAGCAACCAACATGTCCTAATATAGGTTAATGGATAGAAAAACGGTAGTATACCTAGACAATGGAAGAGTATTCAGTGCTGAAAAGAAATGAGCTATTAAACCACTAAAGTTTATGGATAAATATTAAATGTGTATTGACGAGTAAAAGAAGCAATTCTGAAAAGGCTCCAATGCTTTATGATTTCAACTATATGACATTTTTGAAAAAGGCAATATCACAGGAAGAGTAAAAAAAATCAGTGGTTGCCAGGGGATTGAGGAGACAATGGTTGGTTGAGAAGGTGAAGAAATCAAGGAAATCAATAAGGAAGTGAAACTGTTATCTGATATTGTAATGCTGGAAATTTATTTATGTAATTGTCAAAACTGATAGGATTGTACAACACAAAAAGTGAATCTTAATGAAAAAACTATGCTTAGTTAACAATAATGTGTAATAAGGTATCACTTCATTACGGAGTAAATTTATCACATTAATGTGAGATGTTAACAGGAAATTGTAGACAATGGAATACAAGGACTCTTTATTATCTGTTCATTTATAATGTAAACTAAATTTTGAATACTTGATAGGTATTTTAAACAAAAACCACAAGTTTACCAAGGTTACCAAGCTTATAGTTATTCTCTATATAATGGAGATATGGTACCTTTATGACTATCATGTTCACAAAATCATGATACAACTTCAGATATCAGCATTGAAATATGAAGGAAATTTTGTGATTTTTTTGAGGAAATTAATAACTTAAAGGAGATTTCCAAGGTGTCAAAAATCTTGGAGATCAAGAATAGATAGCTTGATTGCATTATTTTTGTCTAATTTAGAGTTCTAAAGTTTAACATTTTTCAGAATGTGGGATATTCTCTCTCTCTCTCTCTCTCTCTCTCTCTCTCTCTCTCTCTAGCAAAATGAAGTTGTTGGTTTTGATAATCTTTGGAAGCCATTCTTACTCTCATATTCCTGTGTTCTAAAATTTATAATTAACTAGATACTTTGTTTTCTATAATGGGAAATAATTTCTGCTGTCCTAGCAAAGCACTTAGAAAACAAAACGGACCATTACATAATTGTGGCTAAAGTTATTTACCCAAGACTCCATGGCAACATGAATACACCAAAATAAATTGTTGACATAAAAACTTCACAAGGAACTTGACTAATTAGGATATTGAATCAATGCTTATTTTGAAGTTGCTTTTGGTTTTAAGAAAAATTAAAGGAAAACTCAGAATTTTATTTAATATTAAGAAAATTAAAATAGGTATATTGTATTTTTATTTTTACTTCAAAACATGATATCTTCATCTCCACCTAAAATTCTGGGTAATATGAAAAATGGCTGTCAAGTGCTCCTAAAATTAAAAAAAAATCTTTGAACTTTAATATTTAATAATATTCACTTGACAACAAAACAAAAGGACATATTAACAAGATTTTTAGCATCTAAAATTAAAGGAATAAACCTTATATTTAATACATTTTTCCTTACAACTTGAAATTTCCTGGATTTAAACATAATTAACATTATTCCACCATTTGAATGTCTTTGCTGACCTCTAAAGAGGTATTTCTTGACATGAATGTTTTTTGCAGATTTTTATTCCAATTTTATCTTAAAACATACTAGAAAATCTCAGACATATACCTTCTGTATTATGTGCCAGTATATCCTCAATTGTAAAATAATGTATATTTGGGATGTATATGTGTGTGTATATATACACACAAATATATATATATATATATATATATATATATATATATATATATATATATACAGAGAGAGAGAGAGAGAGAGTATTGTATTTACTTGGACTATGTGAATTTCATATGTACATTTCATGGAGTATTTTACTCCCTATGCTCAGTCTTTTAATATAAATTCACAAATGGGCATCAAGAATTCTTTTTACTATCTCCTAATTTTATGTTCTGAAATTGATTTCTGCCAACCAGTTTTGATACCTGCATTCATGAAAGCAAAAAAAAAAAATAAAATAAAATAAAAATAAAACAGGAAACTGAATTCACCATATTATGAAATGCAAAAACCTTTAACATACTACTGCTTGACCTTGACTATGATCATGTGTTTTTTCTGATAGAGAAAGGAACACTGTAATTCCATTATCTTGTGATTTAATTCTGCTGTGACAAGGAGGGCTTGCTAAAACACTATCAAATTCTGCCTATGTTATTATGTTGGAGACTGTTCATCTCCTGGGACAGACTATAGACCAGGTTAAGCTAATTTCTTCAGTTAATAGGACCATGGAATTAATTGTTCATGAAGCTAAGATTGTAGGTTTCCTTCAGCTAACATTTATTGGCTGTCATGAGAAGTGAAAAAATGTATCTGTTCCAGAGAAAACTGAATTCTTGACTTTCTATGCCAGCTTCGTTTGGACTTGTGGATGAACTCAATAAAAAGAATATGAATGTCTTTGAAAAACCCATCTTTTCTATCTCAATATTCAAAGAGCATTTATCTTTATGGAAACATGTATAGATGTAATTTTTATCTGACAGCAATGAACAACTGGGATCACATCCTGTTTTTACTCACCAAACAGTGGCCATGTTATAATTACCCAATTTCCAGACCAGGACTAGGGTAAGTTAAGTGTTTGGGGCACAAATTTTAAGAAGACACTTCATTTTCAGAGTAGTGCCTTCTTACATGAATGTTTTCTTAAACATTATTTTTTAGGTACTAGATCCTAAGTCTTGGTGCTACAGAATAGCTTTATATTATATATACTTTATATATGCATACATATACATATACACACATATACATACATACATGTATATGTATATATATAAAGTATCACTTCGTTAAATAACAAATTTATCATATATGTATTATGTGTGTGTATGTGTGTGTGTATAAATTGATAATAAAGATTTGGATGTAAATACAACTAAGCTGAGAATCTGGTTCATTTATTGAACATCAAATATTTGAAATACTTTATAAAATGTTAAAACACACATTTTTGAAAAGCAAAATAAACAATAAGCAAAAAAACCCTACCCTATTGGAGCAGATACACAGTTTTCTATAACTATTGGAATTGAACTATACTAGAGCATGAAAGTATTATTTAAACCAAAGGAAAAATAAATCATAATTTCATTTTGGTTTGAATCCCTTTTTTACTTTTAATTGTTCATTTGTTGATATATGGCAATAAAGTTGCAGCTGTATGGATGTCTTTTCCTGGAATCAGTTGATTCCTCTGTTTTAAACTTATTTGGTACCCCACTTTCCAGGGTGAGTGCAGGGCCTGCCCTTAGTTTGAAATATGAATCCCTAAGAAATATTTGCACATGCATTCATCAAGTCTTTGTTTTAAAACTTGGAGAATTTATTTAGCCTCGTAAATCTTAATTTCCTCATTTGCAAAATCTACACCATAACTGTAATAAGCAATTGATGAGAAATGTAAAGAAACTAGTGTTGTGTCTGGTATTGGATAATTTTGCTAGTCAGCTTTTCATCACCGTGACCTAACACAAATTAGAAGAGGAAAGGTTTATTTTGGCTCACATTTTCAGAGCTTTTAGTTCATGGTTTCCCAACCCCATTGCTAGGGGCATGGTGCAAGGAAGAACATCATGGAAGAAGAGTGTGGCAGAGGCAAGATACTTAGCTCATGGAGGCCAGGAAGCAGAGACAGGGAGAAAGGAACCAGAGAGAACATAAACCCTTCCAGGTCATTCCACCAGTGATTTAATTCCTCCAAGTGGGTCCCAACTCCCAGTAGTCTATTCAGCTCTCAATGCATTAATCAACTGATGAGATCAAAGCCTTTGTGTTCCAATAATTTTCCACAAGTCCTACCACTGAACGCAGGAGACCTTGGGAGACATTCTGGAGCCAAACCATTATAGTAATTTATTAAAATGTTGTAACTATTAATGATGCATATCATTTGTGAGATGTGGCATTAGTGGAAATTACTGAGACTTGTTCTTTGAAACCCTTTAGGAAAAGAAATAAGAGAATGGTTCAGTGGAATATGATTAATACTATTTTTTCACATGTATCCAAGTTTATTTTCATAATCCTCTGTTGAAATTGAATTATTTTTTTTCTTTAGGGTGCCTTTTAGCACTTATATTTGAGAAGGAGGAGAAGACCCTATGGAATAGAAACTATATGGTAAAAACAGGTTCCAGGTAGAGATCTCTCTTTTATATCATACAACAGTCTATTATAGAAACCTTTGTGCTAGAAAATCACAAACACTTGTAATTGTTTTCTCTAAAATAAATATGATTCATTAACTTTGATTGGTATCAAACAGAAAATAGAATACATTTCATAACTTCTGTGTCAGGTTAAGAGTGGTCATTATTGATTGGTGTTATACATTCTCCTTATATATCACATATTTTGTTATAAAGACCTCTCTGTAGGATTTGGAGCTTGATGATTCTATTGATTTCATACCCCTGACTAGTTTACTGCTCTAATTTTGGTTACTCTGTGACTTTGTAGAACTTACAACCTTTTATACTTTCTCTGATTGGAATGTAATATGTTTTTGCAATGATGGCAAATTGCAGTGGTGTATGTTATTGATTTTAGTTAATGAAAAACTTGTTACACTCTTTTCTTTTAATGGGCTATGGCCTTAATTTTAAACTGTAGTACTGTTTCTTTGTGAGGATTATCAGTACTTTGAAGAGCTGAGGAAGCCTGTAGCGTTAGAGTGAGAATACTGAAGCAAAATTATCAACATTTTCCCAAGGACTGTATTATATTATAAACTAAGCAGGTTTGGCAGCAATAACATTGAGAAAGCAGACTATTTTTATTAAAAAAACAGTTCTTTGGGGGGTTCTGTTCTCTTTTGTCTGCTTTTGCAGTTTCTAAGTATGTGATAAATAATAAGTAGTACTTAATTTAATTGCATCACAGGATTAATCTTGTTTACTTCAATTAAGAGGGAAGCAGAGAAATAAAATACAGTGGTTACCCCTTAAACATGGTATTGCTTTCAAGGGTTTTTATTTAACCATGGTCAGCTGCAGTCTGAAAATATTAAATGGAAAAATCCAGAAATAATTCATATTTTAAATTATGCCTCACACGAAGTAGTATAATGAAGTCTTATTAATCCATTATTTTCTGAAATTATATTGTCTATAGATTAAGAGATAGTGTTTAAATATGGATTTAATATCCCCTCATTATTATTTTGCCCTAATACATGGATGACTGCATTGTCTACTGTATCTATGTTGTATACATTACAACCTAGTCACTTCTTAGCTATCTTATTTATCAGATGGACTGACAAGTTATCACAGTACTTATCTCCAAGTAAAGTTTATATAGTAACTTAATCCTAAATCACAGTGCCTGCTTCATTCACTTCATTTTACTTGGTATTATATTATCTCACACCATCAGAAGAAGGAGTATAGAAAAATAAAATACTTTTAGAGAAACCACATTCATATAACTTATAGTACATTGTTATAGTTGTTATAATTTACTATTTGTTGTTAAAATCTTACTGATTATATATGTGCATATGTGTGTGTTCCTAATTATATATATATATATATATATATA